CAACCATTGCGATTGGTTGACTTGTGCCTTCGTGCATTTTGATTGGTTCAATACTATTTCTCTCGAATGGCTTCCTGATTCAACCATTGCGATTGATTGACTTGTGCCTTCGTGCATTTTTTTATTCTATTTTATTCTATTTAACGGCTTAGCACAGGCCGAGGAAAGACATGAAGTCCAAACAAGCTCCGCCCCAGACAAGATACAAGTAAACACATTACAATATTAAATACAAAGAAAAAATATTAAAACTAGGGACAGTGAAAAGAAAAAGTAAAAAAAGAAAACAATATATATATATGTATAAGATAATATAGGTAAGTTGTAGTGCTTGGGAACGAGGTTATTCCGGGCGAAAGCCCTTGGAATTAAATTCGGAAAAATTAATTTCCGACCTCGCTGGGATATAGAACTAATACTGATTGGTTAATACCGTAATTCTCAAGTGGCTTTCTAATTCAAGCATTGTGATTGGTTAGTGAGCTCTTTGACGCTTATTGAACGGTGTAGCACTGAGTTTGAATTAATCGTTTTCGCTCACCTTTTTCTAATTCATCGTCTACTTTCTCCAGGAAATCCAAGTCCTGGCTTCCCTTTTCTTTCCTTTGCTGTGAAAAATATTTAAATTGTAGAACTTTCAGTTAARTTAAAAATACTTTGATAATGGACAGGTGCAAAAACAAGCAAAACGAGAACGTTTTGGAGGTTTTGATTATAATGGTGACGATTAGTGGTACACACTCTCCTAAGTATAGACATACCTTGATCAGCATCAAGGCCTCCTCTATTTCCTGGAAGTCGACTGCGCTTTCCTAAAAAAAATCATAAAAAGTTATTATACCATTCATGGCTTGGATAACGGTTCTTGGTGTTCATGTATCGTACTTTGGGTGCCTCAAAAAAAAAAAAAAAAAAAAAAGATTGGTGATTCTATATAGATAAGCGCATTTCTTTTGCAAATTGTACCGCTTTTTTGCGTTGTAATAAAAGTAAAAACATTGTACAGAGGGGGGTGTTAAACTGTTGAACTATGTAACGGTTCAAGTAACGCTTAAATAATACATGTATAGCGTAGCAGAATATCACTGGAAGACAAGTTCCAGAAGCGAATGTTTCAATATCGTAGAAAGCCATCTTTTATTCTAATGCACATGCACAGACCGGTGGAGTATATTTCGTATTGCCATAAAACCTTACTTGATGAACGTACTGTACTTTGCATGGATTTAGCAATGTAGGCCAGCATTCTGATTGGACGAAATTGAGTACTGAAGGCGCGCTGTGACTGTTGGCTATCATCATCAGTTTTCGTACCGTAACTATGTAACACATATTGTGAAAACTTACTCGCGTGAAAAACTTCATCTTTTCTTTGAGTGTATCGTACTGCTCCTTTAAGGTGTAATACTGTACTCTTAATTCTGTAAGTTCTTTATGCTCTTTTYCCGCGTTTTCTGACAAAAAAAAGTATCAAAAGAAAGCCACGATTACTGAATTGAAGGCATTTCTCAAGAAAATAAAAATTACATCACTCAGCCTACTGACATGTAATATAACTTATTTATAAATATATAATTGTGTAAGAAACAGTTATAGTATTTGCCTAAAGACTTCATGTAAACCACCTAATGAAAGTTTCATGTTCAAAAGAATAGCATGGTTTTTCACGTGTGAAGATATTAGATATTTAGCAATTAGTCCTCGAGTCCGAATGGGCTATTCAAGGGCGGATCCAGGGGGGTGGGTGCAAAGGGTCTTCAGCAGAAAAACAAAACAAAACAAAACTGAAGAATTAGATGCGTTTTTTTATTGTTTTCCGTTGTGTTGACGGAAGAAACTCAATTAGCCCCCCCCCCCCTAAAATTTTGGCTGGATCCACTCTTGCTATTGACTCATAGGCCATGAGAGCGAGAGGATTAATTGTTTTAGTCAAATCCAACTAGTCAGTCAAATATATAGATGCAAAAAAAATTTTAAATTAAAGTTGAATTTAATGTTTTGGTTTTCAAGGCCAGCACTTTTCGCTACTAGTAGGATATAACGTATAGCCTAGTAGTAGCTCATCCATACTGTTAAGTGAAAGACTTAGAGGTATTTCATGATTGACAATTTTGCGTAAATTTTCTCAAAATCCTCCAAGGCCCTGCCTTTCACTCTGTATCCTGTATCCACAAATGAGTAAGTGAGCAACTTCCATTGAGTAAGCGAGTTGGACTTGGTTGGTCTAGATCAGGCTGAACAATCCTGATTTTATTGCTAATACCATAGAAGATTTTACATGCAGTGTAAGTATGTTATGATTAAACAATGATTCTAGACTGTTGTGTAAGGTTAACAAGGTTACCTCTTTCAGCAGCAAGTTTGTCAAGAATTTCATTCTTCTCTAAGAGGTCAGAGTTGATGGTTGCTCTAAGCTGCTCTAACTCCACCTAACAATCAATCAGAGCAGTAGATTAGGCTGCATTCATTATGTATGACAGGGGGGAGGGGGAAGGTGAAATTTAGGGAAGAACTGTTTTTGTATTTTGTAAGTTCAATGGGTAGCCTTCCTATCTTTTTCAGAGAGAAAAGCACAAAATTTTATATAGTATGGAAAACATCACTTGCTCCTCACCTGGCATGCTGGTCATATTAGGGTCATACTGATGCATGGGAGGTAGTACATTGGATATCAATGCTTCCCATGCCCAATTTGTTTTTAACATTTCATAGCTGCATTACATGTACCTCTTTGTTCATTCTTTACTAACTAACCTCTAGATTTCTTTGTTTGGATCTGTGGTGCCTCTCTCTGTCTACATCAAATGCACTGCAAATGCATAGTCAGCATAATCAACAAATGGCATATTGGAAATGAAGATGATCATGATGATGGGGATAATGCTGATAGGGATGATGAAGTTGATGATGGTGATGATGGCGATGATGGTGATGATGGTGATGATGATGATAATGGTGATGATGATGAAGATGATATGCCATGACATGAATCCGTCAGCTAGTCAACACGTACACCTTACAATACAAAGTCAGCAACATCAACATGTGTCACAGACATATATGATGACGATGATGATGATGATACACAAGCATGACATCATCCTGTGTACTGCAACATTCACAACTGCAATACAAAGTCAGCATCATTAACATATGTTACACAAAGAAATAATGAAGTAATGAATATGATAATGATGATGATGCTGGTGTTGCAGTTGATGATTAAGATGACAATGGTTATATACAAACAAGCATCAATCTTTCTGAAGATATTAATTATTTAAGTGATACCATGATTAATATTTTAGTACCTGTTAACCAATTTTTCATTTGCCTCTTTGAGGATTTCATTTTCTGCCTTCAAATCCGAGATAAGCTGAACATGCTGAAGGTAAATGAAAAAGATAAACATGAATTTGAAATTCTGGGATTTTTTTTTTTTTTAATTTACGGATGTAATGTCTCAAGACAAATACATGTAAAACATGTTAATATAAGAAATATTAATATATATTAAATAAGTACAGTATTCTATGAAAAATCTGGTACAAAAAAGATTATCTTGGAAGGTGTATGCTTAAGGTCCCTAATAAAGGTAGTGTCGAGTGAGAAAATAATCAACATATTCATAGTACGCTGAAGTAGACACTATTTCTATTGTTTTCTTTTGTTTTACTTTATAACACTTTTTTTCACAGGCCAAATCAAATCACTCTTAACTAAATCTTGCCCTTTTAGTAAAATGCATGAAGTGCAGAATGCAGAAACACTGTTTAGTCATGTTTAGCCACTCAAATGATCAGATACCGCTTCAATCAATACACAAATTATGCAATGTTAACACCGTGYCCTCACCTCAGCCATAGATTTAGATGAGAGACCTGAAGTTTTCAAATCATTATTCAGCATCATGTTTTTGGTTTGTTCCTATGAATGACAAGGAACAGGTAAATATCAAACAATATAATTGTATTTAGGAATAATAGCATAATCGCACCATCTACCATAGTCGATACCCTTTATTCTTTTTAGTGCAATGTTTGCCCATTTCAGACGATGTGTCATTCTCTTAAGAAACGATTCTTTGTTTGAGTTGCATCCATATTCATGTGTCTTTTCATGCACAACCATCAATCAAATTAAGCTTATGTCAAAAGTCAAACTTTACATGAGCAGCACTTAATGACCTTAAAGAAGGCCGCCTTAATTGTTACCCATTGTTTCAATCAGGTTTGGTTCATGTGAAGTTTGACATTGGACCTGAGCATAAGCGGATCAAAATCCCAATAACTTATTATAACTTATTAAATATTATATGACCTACTTCTTTAAGTTTTGTGTTTAATTTTTCCATTTCTTCTAGAAGTTGTGTATGACTTCTCTTGACTTTATTCAGATTCTGCAATAGTATCAAATGTACTCATTCAATTGGTGGTTTTCAAATAACAAAAGACAAGCCATGTTGAAGGATGTAACAAAAGAATTCATTGAAAATGCTTTGGTTAAATTCCTCCAACATGGCTGACGTGAAAACCATCAATATAACTCTATGAATAGACATGTACTAGATGTTCTAAAGTAACAGAAAAATGACACTGAGCAGGAAATAAGTACCAACCTCATCAAGGGTTGTGTATTTTGCTTGTAGGGCTTGTAATTTAGTGGACTTGTCTTTGACATCTCTTTGTAGTTTGATCATATCCACATTCTCTTGAAGATTTGACCTAAAATAATAAACCACATTAGTATTAATCAATACACTGGCAACTACCATTTGATTGATATCAACTGTTATCATATGGCATCACATAGATACAGTAATTATACTGTTGAAATAAAAATGAATATATTGTCCATATACATGTACAGTAGGCTGGCTCCACCTACACAGACACTCACCATTTATTCCACACACAACCCTCAAGTCACATCTTTATTTTAGAGGGGGGGGGGGGGACTGAAGAATCTGGAGAAAAATCTTTGTAGCTTGTGCAAGAGGAAACAATGTTAAACAGTGTCATTTCACATGTACTGTATTTGCTCTTGTCTGCAGGCATTTAACCAGCCACCCAACCTGTGGCACTCACACTGGTGAATTACTGTATGTTCACTGTAGATGAGTTCCCATCCACTTACCTTTGAACTCCAGTCAGCTGTTCTCTTGCCAATGCCAATTCCTCTTCATGATCACGTTCCTTTTCTTCCATCTGGTTAACAAAATCAAATATAACACAAAGTTTTTGATAATATTGGTTTGAAAAACCTGACAGTGTTGTTTTGTTATACATGTAGTTGCATATAAATGGATGGATGGAGGAAATGTTAGAGGAAAGATAGATGGAAAAAAGGGATGAATAAATTGGTTGGGAAAAGGATGCAAAGATGAATGAATGGAAGGAGAAAAAAGGAAAGATGGATGGATGGATGTATGGGAGTTAGGAAGTAAGGAAGGAAGGAAGGAAGGAAGGAGGGAGGGAGGGAGGGATGAATGAATGACCACATAAAAATTCACCTGCAATTGAAGAAGTCTTTTGTCCTCCTCAAGAAGTTGAATTTCATCTTGAAGTTGGGAAATAAAATCCTCCCTGTGGATATAAAGTTAGAAAATATCTCACTATGATATACATGTACAAATAAACCTTCAGATATCAAGTTAAAATATCTCTACTTACAATTCCCTTTTCTCAAGACGTGCTTCCTCTAGTAGACTATGTCCATATCTATAACATTGATAAGTTTGAATGAATACTATGTACATGTACATGTAGTAACTGACAGACAATGAATTATGAAAAAAAAAGGACATGTTGCTTATGTAATCCAGATAATTTGGGTTCTAAGTAAAGACTCTTAGTTGGTAAGTTACTTAATAATACAGCCCATTAACCCAACAATAATTACCACAGTTTTCGTTGCTAACATATGATCAAGACAAAAGTTGTGACAGGTTAACAGGTTAAACTAGACTACTGTCAATCAAATTAAATTGTTAGAGTACAGTTCCCTTCTATACAGTACATGGACTTTAACACAATCCAACAGTTTGTTTGATTGACAGCAGTCTATTACCGATTAACTTGRTGTGTAACTTCATCAACTCAAAGAATTCAGTATTATATTTATAAGAAATATTTTTAGAATACAGCCACTGTACATAAACAGCAGCTTTACATTAATCACTATATTTATTTAGATGAATCATGAGTTAGTAACTGAAGATAGAAGCTAATATTGGTTATGGTACCTTGGTTGAGCCAAGACTGGAGTAGGTGCAGGTGGAACTCTTGATCCAGGCCTGGTACATCAGATGAAAAACAATTACATATTACAGTAAAGATACTCAAACTTCAAACAAATAAGCTTATATTTTTTTGAGCCATTAATATTTCCTGAACTTTCTCTGTTTCAAACCCTCTCAAATGAGGAATTGAGTTCAAAAATAAGCTGAGTGATCAAAATAAATCTTTTTTTCAAATGATTGGCTTAAGCTAGGGATAATTAACAGCTGAGTGTGTATTTATAAAGAAGTGGCTTGCAAAAAAACTTGAAGTATTCAAGTTTTGAGTATCCTAACTGTAAATATTAACTGTTAATAAAACCCTTGTAAACAAAACTTGTTTCCAAAGTGACATATAAGTGATGTAGAGAGTGCACAGTACATGTACATTTCTATACAATACAAAACTACCATTACTGTAAGGTAGAGTACCTTAAGTCTTGTCCTTGTACTCGCAGATTCTTCTTTAATCTGTTACCTGATGGAGACCTGGCATGGATGCCCTGAGTAGCGATAGAAATAATATAAAAATTAAGAAAAACCACTTGCAAATAAATTAAATTAAAGGCAATTAAAGGTCGACATCAAGAGTGAACTTAAATACTACATAGAAGTTTATAGCCTCCTACACAGACATTCTTAATGTCTGTCACACAACATTTCCCTCCTCACAAGCATCTGCTTACTTGATCAGAGCATTCCTTTCCAAAAAATTATCAAAGTGCATGAACCTTTTAAAATTAGCAAGGTTCATGCTGACTGGTCAATCGAGACTATGATTTTGCGGCTATAGCATTTATCACCTATAGTTGTCGAAAAAACAAGAACTGCGGAGCAGTACAATGTACATTACTCTAAGTCTGCATATGTTGTTTCAGATTCCAATTCTGATTCCAACTCTAGTGTAAACCAGGCTTTAAATGTTGCCTAGTATTTTCTATTTTATGGGTCAAATGTCTTCAGTCTACCATATTATGATTGTGTTACAGTAATATATTGTACATACAGTGTTAATTCTTGGCTTGACATGGTCATAGGGAGTAGTACGTTTGCCTTGGGTTTGCAATTGCTGTTTGGCTAGTGCAAGCTGCAAAACAGAACATTACTTGTCAATATTAACAATCATATACTGTACCATATCGAGTAAATTTAACATTCTAACTTGATTTTGGAGTCCATATGAATGAAGTGAGAAACATAATTTGAATTGAACAAGGTATCATGGGATGTGCATCTGCTATGGTCTTACTGTATCCTTCACCAATGCAAGGCTTGTGGCAAAGGGTCCATGTACAAGTCCCATCCAAGCTAGTATGATATGTAAGTTGAGTTTGTTTGTTATCTTGTTCTCTCCTATAGTATGCCACAGCAAAGGGGTTCTCTGGCTTTTCTCCTTCACTAGAGAACATGTGAGTTGAGATTGTGTTTATAGAATATTTCAATGTAGTAAGGAGTAAATGTATATAGAGGATATGCAGCCCTACGTACAAGCTTCAAGCTTTAAAGCCCAAATTTATTTTTCTCTTAGATAGCTGTCACTGAGGACCCTCACTGACCTTGCTTTTTAGACCTGAATTTTGCTTCTCTAACTCCATAATTTTTTCATGTAAGTCTGCAATTTTTTCTTCTAATTCCACATCTTTTCCACTTGGGCCTGATAATTAAATTGAAAACTTTCTTTTATAACCAACAGTCTGACGTTGTAACATTTTTTTGTCTCTTACATCAATGTCTTGCAATACCGAAATTGCATTGTATGAGGCATTGGTACTACTTTGTCATGCTAACAAACCTCCTTGCACAGCTTCTCTTTTCTTTTTGTCTGCAACAAGTCGTAGCAACTTTGTTGCCATTCTGAAAAGTAAACGAAAGCMAATTTGTCTTTTACAAAAAAGTTTTACATTATTTTACAAACATTTCTTTTTCAAATGTTTCAGTAGATAGTTTTACTATATGCACATAGACTAGCCAAGTTTACAGGGATCATTTTGCCCCACAAGGTAAGGTAGGATATTATTTTTATGAGCCTACTTCCTCAGGTGGATGATAAAACAAAAAAGGACCACGTCAAATCATTGAAATTGAATTGCAAAACATTCAGGAAATCTAGAGTAGTGACAAAATATAAAAAAGCTCAAAGTACTTTTTAATCTTTTCTTCTTGTTTCCTGGCATACTTCTTGAGGTCCTGTTTGAAGAAGAAAATGAAAAAGAGAAGAAACAAATGAAAGTCAGTTATAGGAATGGTTATATTGACTTGCCTTTACTTAAAACCCTATTTCTTTTCAAATGATACTTACAGTATTGTCTTCTTGAAGCCTTAAAAATTTGTCTTCAAGCTCCTCTCGGCTGATCTTGGAGATCATCTGCCGAGCTTGAACTTCACTGAATGGTTTCCCTTCTAGAATCAATAATTAATAAATTAATAATAATCAATCCACCAATCCAACAAACATAATAATATAATAATATATATATTTATAACGCGCAT